ATAACTAACTAAGGCTAAACAGAAAATTCTCTGGGGCAAATTTTTCTCAGGATGTTATTAACATCACAGAATCCATTGCATCAAGATCGGCCATTGGGTCCAAGAAGTCTATGTCAGCAAAAACTCAGATTCATTATTCATTCTCAAAAAAAAATGACGGTGTTGATCAGAGCCACTTGATACTCTATTTACAATTTATCACCATTCAAAAAGCCACATCCATGGACATGAATGGTTAGTGCTCCATATTTCTGATACCATGGTGCAAAAATACTTCAATATTGGTTGCCCTGTCAGACATGTCATTTGCCTTTACATTAATGGCTAGGACAAAATTACCACAGATTGAATCAAGTCTACAATTTATAACGCAACAGAGTGTGCTGCCTAATATGAATAGTAGGTGGTTAGGAATTAACTTAGTTTACACCTAGTATGTTAAGTCTGGTTACTGCAGAATCTGTGAACCAATTAAGAATTTTGAGTTAGTTCTTCTAAAATAAGCAACAGGAAAAAAAAAGTCAAACCATAGTGGTCTCATTTATTCCAAGCAGCTACAAATTTCCATTATTAAGTTTCTGGTAATACTGGTTCCTCTTTTGGAATGATGTTTAAACCACTAACTTCCCAAATGAATATAATCGTTCTCATTTTCAAGCTGGATTTTCAAAATCTCTAATTACATTAAAAGCCCCTCATTCTGAAACCCATAAAATAAAGGAAATTGAAGTAGAGCAAAATGATCTTGTTTAAAAAAATAAATTTTAGAAGTGTTTTTGATTCCAGTAATTCAGGGAAGATGCCCATAAGCAGAATGACAGCCAAAAACATTCAGCATCTAGCACGGCAGTTCAAAAATAAAAGAACCAATTCTTTCAAATGTATCTTAAACCAAGATCCCATCTGCCTGCTCATGGGGATGTTAAAGATCCCATAGCACCATTTTGAAGAACAGAGAGTTATCCCATTCTAAAGAAGGGTCACTGGACCTGAAACGTCAACTCTAATGCTTTTTCGAGAGTGTCAAGCTCCTGGGAGTGATGATCACAAACAATCTGTCCTGGTTCACCCACGTCGACACAACACAAGAAAACACAACAATATTTCTACTTTCTCAGGAGGCTAAGGAAATTTGGCATATCCACAGGGACTCTTACCAATGTTTATAGATCATCATAGAAAGCATCTTATTTGGATACATCACAGAATGGTATGGCAACTGCTCTTCCCAAGAACACAAGAAACTGCAGAGTCATGAACACAACCCAGTCCATCACACAAACCAGCCTTCTCTCCAACGACTCCATCTACACTTCCCGCTGCCTCAGGAAAGCAACCAACATAATCAAAGACCCCTGCCACCTCAGTCATACTCTCTTCCACCCTCTTCCGTCAGGCAGAAGATATAAAAGTTTAAATACTTGTACAAATAGGTTCAAGGACAGCTTCTTCTCTGCTGTTATCAGAGTTTTGAATGGACCTTTCAAATGTTAATTCTAATCTCTTTCTCCGCACCTTCTCTGAGCTGTAACATGTATTCTGCACTCTGTTCTGCTACCCTCATATACTTTGTATGATACGATCTGCCTGTATAGCATGCAGAAAAACATTTTTCACTGTATCTCTGTACATGTGACAACAATAGATCAATCAATCTCCACAGGTGCTGCTAGACCTGCTGAGTTTTTCCAGCAATTTCTCTTTTTGTTTCTGATTTCCAGCATTCTCAGTTCTTTCAGTTTTTTGTTTAGGAGAATACCCTTGGTGTCCTGATTGATATTTACCCCCAATCAACATCACAAAAACATATTTGGTCATGATCATGTTGCAGTTTGTGAGAGTTTGCTGTTATGTATTCATTGTTGCATTACTACAGTCACTAACTTTGAAAGTAACTTATTGGCAGTAACGCATTTTGCAATGTCTAGTGCTCCTGAAAAGTGCTACATAAATGCAAGCTTTTCTTTTCACTGATTACTAATGCTCAATCAAAGAACACTGTGTGCCTCTTTGTAGGTTAGGTGGAACAATCCCTCTTCCGTACCTACACTGACCCTAAACCCCACCTCTTCCTCCGTTACATTGATGACTGTATCGGCGCCACCTCTTGCTCCCACGAAGAGCTCGAACAGTTCATCCGCTTCACCAACACCTTCCACCCCAACCTTAAGTTCACCTGGACCATCTCTAACACCTCTCTCACCTTCCTGGACCTCTCTGTCTCCATCTCGGGCAACCACCTAGAAACCAATATCCATTTCAAGCCCACCGATTCCCACAGCTACCTAGAATACACCTCCTCCCACCCACCTTCCTGCAAAAATGCCATCCCCTATTCCCAATTCCTTCACCTCCGCCGCATCTGCTCCCAGGATGAGGCATTCCACTCCCGTACATCTCAGATGTCCTCATTTTTCAAGGACCGCAACTTCCCCCCCTCAGTGGTCGAGAACGCCCTCCACCGTGTCTCCCACATTTCCCACAACTCATCCCTCACACCCCGTCCCCGCAATAACAACCAAAAAGAATCCCCCTCATCCTCAAGTACCACCCCACCAACCTCCGGATCCAACCCATCATCCTCCGACACTTCCGCCATCTGCAATCCAACCCCACCACCAAAGACATTTTTCCCTCCCCACCCTTATCTGCT